AGCCAAAACATATGTGTATGTTTATCTTTTGTATCTAGTGCCAAACAGTGTCTCTAAGTGAATGTAACCAATGACACAACTGGCAGCATGGTAAGGGCCTTCCAGTTGCCTCACATCCTCAGCAACATTTCACAAAGGACACACTCCATTGTTTCTGGATGAAGTTCCTATGGAAAACCAGCCAAGGCCTTTTTCCCAGTTGGTTGCTATTCTTTTATTAACTCACCCTGCTCCCTTGCCGGTGTTTTCCTCCTCTCTTTCCTTGTGTCTGCCCCAAATTGTGTTCCCTCGGAAGCATCTTCCAAACACAGTGACACTTAGGGTGAGGATGGGGGTGATATTCTTTTCAGGCGTCCTGAGGACTGGGTACGTGGTTTGGGCAAGGGGCAGACTCCCCAGCTCCCTTTACAATGTCTTCTTTATGCCGACTCTAGTTTTTCTAAAGTTTCTTCCTCTAGTTCAAGACTTCTCAGTCCCAGTGCTATTAGCATTTAGGGCTGGATAATTCTTTGTTGTTGAAGGATGTGCTGCACATCGTAGGATATTTAGCCACGTCCTTGGCCTGTCCTCGCTAGATGCCAGGAGCACACCCCCCCTCCCCCAGTGGTAACAACCAAAAATGTCTCTAGAACATTGCCAAATGTTCTCTGGGGGGGCAAGATCACCCTTGGTTGAGAACCACTGATCCAGTTACAAAAGGATCTTGATCTGAGATTAAAGAGATCCATGAACTTGAAAGGAAAAAAAAGGAATTGCATCTTTGTTTTTACTAAACTTTCACTAAAATTTAGCATTTCCTGTAATTCTAGATGTAGGCAGTGCTCCCCAGAACGAACAACCCCTCCCCGCAAAAAAACAGTACCTTATAATAGCAATGTCTGTGACTTGGTCTGTGAAAACCTGCTCTTTTCATATCACTTGGGAGTTGTTTCAGTTTTTCATGAGAAAGAATTTGCATTCATCACTACGTCAAAGTCTCACAGCTTTTAGTACTGCCCCTAGACCTTGTCACTTAACTCAATAAAAAAGACATGTTACTAAGGTACACATGCATTTAAAAATATTTCGATAAGTTTCTCTGAATATAATTGGTTACCTTATTAGTTGTATGTATTTTTATTTATGCACTTAAAAACATTATGCAGAGAAGGGGTACAAAGGCATCACTAGACTGACAAAGTGATTCATGGCATAAAATAGTTAAGAACCCCTGTACTGAACAGAGTTTCTGAATTTGGAAAGGTCTGTCTGTGCCGGGCCACACGGATCACATGCTCATCACTGCCTTAAAAGAAGCCCTGTGAGATGTCCTTTGGGCCAGTGCTGTGGGCTGATTCGCTGATGTGCGTTTCTATCCTCAGAGCCGTCTCCCTCCCTACTCTGCACATGTTGTCAGGGCCGCTCCTCAGTTCTGGGCTGCGTG